ACTCCGCATCCCCACTGGGCCTTCTTGGCTCCAGCAATACCTTCCTGGTTACTGGCAGCCCCCAGAACGTGGATGCATGCACACACTCGCACACAGATAGATGCCAGACACCAACTGTCTGCAGAAAGCCAGGCTTTGTGGCTGAGCCCCGGTTGGACATATCACCCCTGAAAGTCATCACAGGTTTTGGAATGTGTGCAGGCAGAGTCTGAGTTTTGGCTCAGCTACTTACTACCTACTTTGGTCAAGTTATTTCGTCCATTAAACTCTGCTTCCTTTGCCTGTAAAATGGAGCTTTGTTGGGGCCACATCACTGGGTATGTGAGAACTGAATGAGGGTCGGGCATTTGGTTTCACCAAACAGCAATTAACAGTGAACAACAGTTCAAAGGATTATGACAGCTGGGGTTTCAGGCCTGGGTGGTTCTTCAAATTTAAGAATATCAGTAACTATCCCAAAGCCAGCACTTGGGAGGCAGAGACAGGAGGATTATTATGGGGTTGAGTCCAGCCTGGACTAAATAGTAAAGTTCTAGACCAGACTGAACTACAGAGTGAGATCCTATTTTGAATGAATAAATGAATAAATAAATCAGAAACAATACCTAGTTATAGGCATTAACAAAACAACTGGGCAGCAATGGAATGCTATTCATTTCCAACCCTGTTTCTTGGATCTGGCTTCTGTGTGGCCCACCTCACTCCATGACTTCTGGGCCAAATTTGTTGTGACTACGTAACTGGAGTTTAGTGTTCCACCTCCATGTCCTCTGTACTCCTCCTGGGGTCAGATGTAATCTCAGGATTTTCCCATCAGACATCTTGAGGAGGGAGAAGTGGCTCCCTCTTTCGGTTACCTGCGCTTTGGGAGCCATGCTGTTATTGGCTGCTGACATTCCATGGCCTGTGGTGCTTTCTCAGCTGTGACTCAGGATCTCTGGTCAGTGGCATATTCTGTTCCATCCTACAGAGCCTCCTCTTGTCCTTCCCTCACTCATAGCAGCAAGGCCTGACCCTTCCTTCTTCTAGGGGTGGGCTGAGGTCATTCTTCCAAGGGAGGTGGGTGTCACCCAGGTCTCTGTGGCTCCTGCTCTCAGCTGGCTATGAGCTCACGGAAACTCTACAAGCTACATTTGGGGCTACGAAAAACTGGGTTCAGGCCACATTCTTCTGGCTTCCCTTTTCCAGAGGGTGAAAGGCCTTGGATGAGCAAGTTCAACTGGGATGCGGAGCCCATTGCGTGTCCTTCACTCATAGCCATGTCCTCTCAGGGACACAGTTCTCCCCTCACGTGAGAGCTCACAGTGAAAAGAAAGGGTAATTTATTAGTTACCTCCTGCTCTTCCTTTGTAACTCTCTCTTCCTCAGCACAAAGCTTGACAACTTTGTGTAAGTTGCAGTGACACACACACACACACACATTCACTTGCACACACTGACCACACACACACACACACACACACACACACACACACACACACACTCTCAGGAAAGGAACTGATTCTCTAAGTTTGTGAGTGTTTTCCTGGTTCCTTTATCCCTCAACCAGCAGAGAATAGAACTTCTTTGAAATGCCACTCTAAGGAGTTTGCCCCTCTGGTTATCAACAGCCATTTATGGTGATTAAAGGGATTAGCAGGTTATGTGAGGGCCCAGTTATTAGCTGCCATAAATGGATATTCTTCACATTCTATCTTGTCTCATAAGTCACACCGGTTATCACTAAGCTCGTGGTGGAAAGAGGTCTGCAAGGCTGCTCAGTCCTGGAGTGGGCAGAATTGCCTCCAGCAAGCTCAGTCTGCGGAGTGTGCTCAGAATCCAGTTTAACTTCTACGTCTCATTCTGATCTTTTTACTGATTTCATTTTTGCTTTTCAAGACAGGGTTTCTCTGTGTAGTCCTGACTGTTCTGGAACTCACTTTGTAGACCAGGCTGGCCTCAAATTCACAGAGATCCACCTGCCTCTGCTTCCTGAGTGCTGGGATTAAAGGCATATGCCATCCCAGCTTTTGCTGAACTTTTATTTTCATCAAAGATATGTAGTTAAATAAACAGAACAAGGCAAACAGCATCCCCCTGCCTTTCTTCCTACCTTTCCTTTCTGGTTTTGTTCCCCCATCTGACTGTTGATAGCGTGCATTATATTGCCAAAGAATAGGGCTATATAGCCACTTTTGGAGTTTGCAGTTTAGGCATTATTTGCCAATATTCCAGTATGGATGAGTTATTTTGTTTTTGTTTTGTTTTTTGTTTTCTATTGTTTTTTTAAAACTCTGACACATACTACTAGCTTCTCCTTCCTCCACTTATATTTAGAATTTACATTGCTGTAACAACATAAACACTAACTATGTGAAACATGTAGCTTTTTGTTGTTGTTGGTTTTTCGAGACGGGGTTTCTCTGTGTAGTCCTGGCTGTCCTGGAACTTATTCTGTAGACCAGGACATTAAATGCCTCTGCACTTGAGAGGCAGAGGCAGGCAGATCTCTGTGAGTTAGAGGCTAGTCTGGTGGTCTACACAGTGAGTTCCAGGACAGCCAAGGCTATTACACAGATGTAGCTAGAGTTTTTCTGTCTGGCCCACAGTCAGGACAAATCTCTCTCACCTGCCAGTCCCACAGCCACTCAGACCTAATCAAGTAAACACAGAGACTTATATTGGTTACAAACTGTATGGCCATGGCAGGCTTCTTGCTAACTGTTCTTATAGCTTAAATTAATCCATTTCCATTAATCTATACCTTGCCACATGGCTCGTGGCTTACCGGCATCTTCACATGCTGTTTCTCATCATGGCAGCTGGCAGTGTCTCTCTGACTCAGCCTTCCATTTCCCAGCTTTATTCTCCTCCTTGTCCGGCCTATACTTCCTGCCTAGCCAATGGCCAATCAGTGTTTTATTTATTGACCAATCAGTAACACATTTGTCATACAGAACATCCCACAGCACACAGAGAAACCCTGTCTCGAAAAACAAAACAAAACAAAAAGTCATTCTAAGGTAGATGCAATGTGTTTTGACAACAGAACAGCCTACATCGAAGCTGGATTAGGCAGTCATGGATCCATGAAGCATGTATGTTTGTAGGTTTGAGGCACATTGTCAATGAGAAGCTAGACCTCAAAAACTGTTTTGAAGATATTAGGCTTCTGAATTTGTGAGGTTTTTATTACTCTACTTGTACAAGAATAGATTTTAATAGCTAAAAAAGATTAATGCCACCACTCTTGGGGTGTGAGTACTTCATTAGGGTGTTTGAAATGCCAATTCACTGTCTCTATAGTGTAGATTGATGTTAACTTACAGACAAGCATGTATCAGTGTTCATACTGAAGCTTTTTTTTTTTTATCAAGTTTTCACACAATGTAACAGTATGCCTTCTTGTTCTTGGTTTAGTCCTTCATTATGATGAAACAAATCCTATAAAAAACTTCCTAAGAAATGGTTTATAGGAAATAATACTTTAAAGGTGTTGTTGTCTTATGATATACTTTGAGATCTTTTTAAAATTTTTTTTAAAAATTTTTTGGTTTTTTGAGACAGAGTTTCTCCATGTCGCTTTGGAGCCTGTCCTGGAACTTACTCTGTCGACCAGGCTAGTCTTGAACTTACAGAGATCCACCTGCCTCTGCCTCCTGAGTGCTGGGGCTAAAGGCATGCGTCACCACCACTGCCTGGAGTACTTTGAAATCTTGATTGAAAGCATCTTTATTCTCTGTTCATAGCAGTGGATAGTTTGGCTGGGTATGGGACTGTAAGTCAGAAATGGCTTTCTCTTAAAGTTTTCAAGCCACTGTTTCACTATGAAACCAATGTTCTCTTTGTGGAGACATTAGTTCCCATATCTCTTTCTCTAACTCTCTTGGCCTGCAGCATAGCTGCTGTCCTGGTGGTATAGCCCTCATCAGCCTCCCAAGGATTCTCTTTGCATTTCTTCTTATTTCCTGAAATCCATGTGTCATGTGACCTGAATTAGCCTGGCCATTTCATGTCATTTAGATTGTTTTGGTAAACACTCATGGACTCTACTGTAAGTCTCTCTCTCTCTCTCTCTCTCTCTCTCTCTCTCTCTCTCTCTTTCTCTCTCTCTCTCTCTCTCTCTAAGACAGGGTTTCTCTGCATAGCCCTGGTTATCCTGGAACTCAGAGCCTCTGTCTCTTGAGCGCTGGTATTAAAGGCGTACCACTGCCCAGCCCTATAAGTCTCTTCTTGATAATACTATTGAAAAATGACACCATCCCTACCCTTTAAGAGCTCTTCCCAAAGTTTTAGAATTTTATTTGGCATATTGATAAAATCTTATATTTACATATTTCCCTAAGGATCTGGCAAAACAATTCAATCTACAAAATTGTCCTTTGACTTGGGAAACTTTTCTTTATTACTCTCTTGAATAAAATCTCCTTTATTCTCTCTTCTGGAGCCCCTGCTGATTCAGAAGTCATACCTCTATGAGACACAGCCTCGTTCATCTCTGCTCCCTTCTTTCCTTTCTTTGTTTTTGTGTTGCTTTCTAGGAAATTTCTTTAATCTCATGTCCCAGCTTTAATGTTGCCTGTTTAGTCTCGTTTGTCATGCTTTGCTAAGAATGCTTTTTGCTCATTACAGATTTGTTCTTTCACAGCCTTTGCATTATCCCTCATTTCTCCAGGAATTTGTAACTGTATGTGAACTACTTTCTACCTTGTCTTGTAGACTTTTCTATTTATCTTGGTCTCTGCCTTTTATACTGCAGAACTGCCTCCATTGTCTGGTGGGTGATCCTCAGTTTCCCTTTCATGTTCAGGGATATAGTGCTAAAAGTCTGATGACCTTTGACCACTGACCTTTATCTAAAGTAATTTGAGTCTGAGAACACTAGTTGCCAGCATCTTTAGGTATTTTCTCTTAGATCAGACTTCCTGGGATAAAGTTCCCTTCCAGCTTCCTGAGAATGAAGAGTGAGAGTTGGAGGTGCAAGCAGGGGTCTTCCTATCCCGTGTATCACTTTTGCTTACCATCCCATCTCGGCTCTCATTGGTTCCTGTTGTCCTTCTGTTCATGGACCTGTTTTATCCTTTCCAGGACACCATCTTCAGATCAAGGACAATGGGTGTCTCTGTTTCTCCTTGAGACAATCTGTCCTCCCATTCTTAGTTCTTGCGTTCCATTTTCAGAGATACCTGCAGCATCGAATTCCTGACTTTAGCTAAGTCAGTCACCATCACTCACCTGCCTTCAGCTTTCAAAACATAGCCAGCTGTCGCTGTCTCTGTTCCCATTCCCCTTTTTCATCTGGGTTTGTGTGCTTAAGAAAAATCTATTTGTTTCTGTTTCATAAAGGTCTGTGGAGATTGCTGAGATAAAAGTTGTGTTTAATTTGCCACCATTTTATTTAAAAATGATTTAAATTTTTGTTCTTTATTTTGATGTGTGTGTGTGTGTGTGTGTGTGTGTGTGTGTGTGTGTGTGTATTATATGTGTGCACCTATGTTTGCACCTATGTGTGCACATGTGGAGGCCAGATGACAGTATCAGGTGTTTTCTTCTATTGTTCTCCACCTTCTATTTTCAGACGGAGTCTCACTATACCTGGAGCTTGGGGCGCAGTGGGTAAGGGCACTTGCCCTCAACTGACAATAGAGTTTAATCCCTGGAATCTATGTGGTGGAAGGAGAAAACCAATTTCTGCAATTTTTCCTGAAACCTTTACATGTGTGCCATGGTATGCTCATGTGTCTGTGCATGTGTGTGTGTGTGTGTGTGTGTGTGTGTGTGTGTGTGTGTGTGTGTGTGTGCCATGTACATGTATCTTGGAGCTCACTAATTGACCAGGTTGGCTAGCCAGTGAGCTTCAGGGATGCTCCTGGATCTGACTCTCAGTGCTAGGCTTGTATGTGCTTGACACCATGAGCATGATTTGCTTTTTTTTTTTTTTTTTAAAGCAAAAGGGTCTCAATATTTCTGGTCCCTCTGATCTAATTTGGAAACTATCCAGACAAGATGGTTTCTGATGCATCATGTTAAATACCCTCTTGCAGCCTTGTTCCATTTCTCCCCACTGCTCAGGTTCTCCATACAACAGCCCCCATCCCACAGACCATCTGCTCGGCCACCAGACTGCTTAACACCAGGGATTGGTGTCACCTCAGAGGCTTTCCCTTACCAGTTCCGGCTTCACTTTCAACCTACAGTTCTCTGGTACATCCAGGCATCCACGGACTTCACTGGCAGTTTCATACATTTGATCTTGCTAGCAAGGCCCCATCACTTCCCTACTCCTTGGTGTTTTCACCCAGAAATGACTTTGTCGTCGTCCAGAGAAAATAAAAGCAGCCGAATGTGAACTTCCTTTGCTCTTCTTTCCTACCACATCAAAGGATCTGCGTCTGCAGCCAACCAGACCTCCCTGCTCAGCACACGCTGGCCCCTCTGTGATAGGCTCTTTCTGAACTGTCTGGGGTGTCTGGGGTGTCTGGGCTGTCTCTCCCGCCACAGACACCGTAGGGTAGCTTTTGGGCCCAAACTGTGGGCGTTTTTGGGAAACTGCCCCGTGTCCTCTGTGCTTGTGTCTTCGACCTCTTTAGCGCATTCCTTTTAGCTTAGAAACAGAGTGAAATTTTCCGTCCTCCCCCCCCCCGCCCCGCCCCGTGTGTGTGTGTGTGTGTGTGTGTGTGTGTGTGTGTGTGTGTGTGTGTGTTGATAAGGATGGAATCCAGGGCCTGCCACATATTGGGCAAGTGTTTCCTCCCCGAAGCACTTCACACAATCGGCAACCACATCCTTGCGCCAGACCCCACAACTCTCCATCTGCTTGTCCCAAGCCTCTAGTCACTTCTTTCTACAGTTTCTTTGGAATATGGATACCCTCGGCATTCCATCTCAGTTCTGTATAAGGCTTTCCTAATGGGTCTCATACTAACCCCACAGCCTCTCCTAGCACGTCCGTGTGAATGACCCTGAGGCAGCATGCACAGGGCCTGCACAGGTCTGCACCAGATGGGGTCCTAGAGCTGAGAGCAGAAGTGGACACACGCCCTATCCCTAACCCAGAGGGTATCTTCAACTGATAATCACTTGCAAATGAAAATGTCATTTTCTCCAAGGAAGTGCTCACTGGGATAATTAGCTACACTTAAGGGTGGGCCGCATGACCAGCAGTAGATGGCCAACAGAAAACAAATTCAGTGGTATGTTAGGTAGTTTCTTGTCTTATAATGTTGTGTTAGGGCTCTTTCTTCTTTTAATTTTATCATTTCTTAATTTCTCCCCTTTTTTTTTTTAAACTGTATAGGTCCTTTGTGTATATATCATGACTTCTGGTTTTGTGTTTTTATGGGACTCCTGAGTGTGTGAACGAGTGAGTCTCTGTGTCTATATCTGTGTCTTGTGTTTTTTCCTGGGCTCTTTTCCTTCTGTTTGTTTTGTCCTATTCTGATGTATCCGTGTTTGTTTTATCTTATTAGATTTTATTTTATTATATTACTATCCCTTAAAAGCCTGTTTGTCTCCTGATGAGACAGAAAGGGGGCAGATCTGGATGGGAGGGGAGGTGGGGAGGAACAGGGAGAAGAAACTGTACTCAGTATGCATTATATGAAAAAAAAAATCTTATGTCACCTTCTCCTAGGGCCCACTGTGGAGCGGGCATCATCAACTCCACTAACAAGGGCTTGTGATATGCCTGGAGTTATAGATCGGGGAGGTCTAGGTGTTGGGGTCTGGTCTGCTCTGTCAGATCATGGAGGATCTCTGTTTGCCAGTCAATGCTCTGCCTTTATTCTTGGATGAATGCTCAGCTCCAGTTTTTAAATTGCTCCAAGAAAAACTCCTATTCAGTCACAGCTCTGAACAAAACTACCAGACCTATCAACTCACTTTGCAAACGGAAATAGATTACTCCAAGGAAGTACAGGAGGCTATGCTAACTTAGACAAAGTTCCTTTTGTCCTATGTCTGGTGTTCCTTCTACTGCATCAGAGTCCCAGACTGAGTCTGTAGAACTGATGGTGCCTGTTGATGATGCCATGAGAGAAGTGCCCTGCCGCGAAATGAGCATGAAATGACTGAGGGGAATGCAGCTTAATATACTTCTCAGAACCTTCCCTGCTAACGTGCATCTGATTCTCCCAAAGCAAGCACTCGGAGGCTATGCTTTCCAAACTCAGGGACAGAGAGTCTGCTGGAACAGTTATTAGCCTCTTACGAAGCTGGTATAGTGTAGAACAGCTGGAGAACTCTAGCTTTCCCTGCAGAAGAGTGCTTGATTTGAAGAAACAAGGGCATTGCAATAAGCAAGAGGTTCTGGCAGTGTAAACTGACCCTCCAAGAGATTGTGTTGTCAGGAAGAAGGGAGAATCTCCAGAGTCCTGGGTGGAGACGGACTTCAAAGAGGAAGGACATTTGGGTTAATGACCCTATGTAGGATAGATTTTGGAGGTAACAGGACTTAGCAGAAGGGGTCTAAGAGCAAAGTTAGATTATCGTAGAATGTACACCTTCTAACTAGCAAGGGTCCCTCTAAGCACAAGAATGATAGTATCCTCATATTATTTTCTCCAATAAATAAATCTGTCTCTGAGGCCTAGTCACCATGGTCCACAGCATATCCTGTGACAGTCATTTCCTGTGCTCTCTCTCCTTCTCATAGATCATTCTGGAAACCAAGCTTGTCAAGTCAGTAACACTTGGGGGAGATGACTTCTGGTCTTGGGGCATCCCCAGGATAGTCAGTAGTATAGCCCTTGCTAAAATGTAGGCTCCAGCTTAGAATGCCATCGTCTCTCTAGTCAGGAATCTGAGTTGATCCTCCAGGCACTGTATCCCAGACAGAACTCAGAGGCTGGGACCCTGGCAGCAACCAGGGCAACTAACTGCTCAGTGTCCAAAGACAAGCTCCTCATAGTACCTGAGATGCTCCTCTTCGAAGCCACAGTTGGCTGGGTCTACACCTTCTTGCCTGGAAGCTTTGTTCCCATCCCACCCCATCTCACTCCTACTCTCAGCACATCCAATTCACCTTCTTCAGCATCACCTGCCCATCCCCCACCCCTGCGACAGGGTTTTTCTATGTAACAGTCTCAGCTGTCCTGGAACTCACTTTGTAAATCAGGCTGGCCTTGAACTCACAGAGTTCCGCCTGCCTCTGCCTCCTAAGTGCTGGCATTAAAGGTGTGCGCCAGCAATGCCTGGCCGTATTTATTTTTTATATAGGGTTTTATATAGTCCAGGGTAATCTCAAGCTCACTAGGCAGTCAAATATAGCCTTGAATTTACAATCTTCCTGCCTCTACCTCCCAAATACTGGGATTATAGGTACGTCTCTTAGATCTGGCTTATGCTTTGTTAAAGATCAAACCCAAGGTTTCATATGCACTAGATAAGCTCTCTACTGACCACATCCTCTGCCCAAGGACCCTTTTGAATGGGGGAAAATGTCTCTTCTTTCTTGGGCTAATGATGTCTCTGACAGCACCATTTAAAAAAAAAAAAAAAGGTGCTTTCCAAAAACACATTATCTCACAAACACAGAGAATGTTCATAGCGTGGCTATCATTATATTTTTAGTATCATTATATTGTTTTGAGACAACCCAGTCTCCAAGGTGCTGAGAGACCGAAACACCAAACAAAAGGGCAAAGAGATTCAGGATTACACAGAATGTAGTTCATCAGGTGATTTGCTGACAGCAGTAAGGTCCTGGGCTGCAACAAGACCAAGGGGACCCTCACAGTTTGGGTCAGAAGGAAAGCTGTGTGTATTGGCTAGGACAATAGCGACCTCATAAAAGTGGAATGTACCTGGTTTATCTTAAGCTAGTATCAAAGAGACAGGCACATTCCTAGCACCATGGCCCAGTTGTAAAACTCCACATGCCACTCTAATGGTTGTGTCTATTTACAGTTTGCTGGGAAACTATGCAGGAAAACTCAATCAGGTTATTCTGGGCCTGATCCTCTCTGCTACAACTCAAGATGGCTGCCATTATGTCAAGATGAATTCATCCAATAAAGAGGCCAGCAAAAAGAAATCCACTTCAATGGGGGCCCAGGTCCTATGGGAAATCCTTCCGCTAATGTTTAGAGGAAACCGTGGAATGATTCTGACATGAGTGACAAGGACACTCCTGTGATCTCTGCTGTAGCGCAGGTGTCTGGAAAGTGTCACAGCTGAGCACAGGAGTGAGCGTGTTGAGGACCTGTTGGATGGCAGCAGCAGTGAATAGCAGAAATACAGCAGCCACAGGAAGGCTGACTGTGGTGCTTGAAGCACGCCAACTTGATTAAGCTGTGGTGCCCAGTTGTTTGGTAAACACTAGTGTAAATAATGCCATGCAAATGTATTTTAGATGGAATTAATGTTCAACTCCGTAGACTCTGAGATTACTTTCCACCGGGTGGGTGGGCTCCATCTTGTTAGTTGTAGCCCTAACAGTAAAGACTGGTTTCTAGACAACAAAGGAACCCGGGCTGAGTTTCTAGTCCATAAATTTCGGCCTCAAGGCTTGAACACTAACTCTTCCCTCTATGTCCAATGCCTTTTGGCTGCTACAGATTTCAGCCTTGCCTCTCCCACCAGCATGTGAGCTAATTCCTTAAAATCCCTCTCTGTCTCAGTGTCTGTGGCTCTCTGTCTGTCTTTCTCCACACATGTGCATTCATACTATTTTGAGCATGACCATATTCACTAGAGATTAAGAATTAAAGGGATGCCTAGAATGAATGGGACCCCGGGTTTCATTCCTAACACTGCAAAAACAAACAAATTTATAAATACACAAATAAAAAGGAAAGAGAACTTAAATGACCAGATGGAAGCAGAGAGCAGAGGAAGGGCATGCTTGTTACCCCTCCCCAATCCCAAATCCCTTTCCTGAAGTTGGGGACCAGTGAGGCAGGGAAGCAGACTTACCACGGAGGCGGAAAACAAGAAAGTATCTAGTTAATACCATGCCATTTCTGGGCTCTGAGAATCAGAAAGCAAACTTTGATGAAAGAAGAGCACTCAGCTGGATCTGAAGGCCTAGAATGTTCCATTGGTCTGCAGGGAAGTTTCTCTTTCAGCATTTGCCCCAGGCAGTCACTCTCAGTTGGTGTCAGCTGTGAGCAGCAAACTCAAGCATCCGAACTGTATTTTTGTTCCTCTTCTTGCCCTCTATGCCACCCTGCTCTTTCTCTGGCTCTCATATAGAATCCATACATGAAAGAGGCTTCTCGGTTTTCTTTATGGCCATAAACTCAGGTGCACTCACCGTGGCTTGTGACACACCGCACTGCTGACGGGCGGGTTCTTCCCAGTGACTTCTGTAATCATATGAAAACAGTGCAGGGGGTGACTGCATTGGTTGGCAGTTTTCAACTTGACACAAACTCAAGTCATCTGGCAAGAGGAAACCTCAGTTGAGGAACTGGTTCCATCAGGTTGGCCTCTGAGCAACTCTGGGGAGGGGGAGCGCATTTTCTAGATTGACGATTGAATGAGGAGGGTCCAGCTCACTGTAGGCAGTGCTGCCCCTGGACAGGTGGTGGTCCTGGGTTGTCTAAGAAAACAAGCTGAGGAAGCCAGAGAAAGGCGTTTCATGGCCTCTCCTTTAGTTTCTGCCTCCAGGTTCCTGTTTGAGTTCTTACCCTGAGTCCCCTCAATGATGAACTGTGATGTGGAAGCATAAGATGGAATAAACCCATTCTCTCCCAAGTTGCTTTTGGTCCTGGTGTTTATCACAGCTATAAAAAGCTACCTAGGACAGTAGCCTCATTTGTGCACCTAATGTACAAACACATCTTCAGGTTGAAGTACTAGAAGTGGAAGAGCTGAGCTGGAAAGAATGTACGCCTGTGAAATGGATAGATAATTGTCAAATTATCTGTACAGGAGCCTCCAGTGATTTTCACTCCATCAATCATGTATGGAAGTACCTGTTTCCCCACACTGTGACCAATACCACGCTGTCGAACTGTTAGAAACTGGTCCACACTGTGACCAATACCACGCTGTTAAACTGCTAGAACCTGGTTCAGTTTCTATTGGTCACAGTGTTTTTTTGGTTGGTTTTTTGAGACAGGGTTTCTCTGTGTAACAGCCTTGAACTCACAGAGCTCCGCCTGCCTCTGCCTCCCCGAGTGCTGAGATTAAAGGCATGCACCACCACTGCCCAGCCCATGGCAACTCTTATAAAGGTAAACATTTAAATGGGGGCTTGCTTATAGTTTCAGAGGTTTAGTTCGTTATCGTCATGGCAGGAAGCATAGCAGCATGCAGGCAGACATGGTGCTGGAGAAGGAGCTGAGAGTTCTACACTTTGATCTACAGGCATCAGGAAAAGGTCTGGCTTGAGTTTCTGAGACCTCAAAGCCCACCACCCTAGTGAGGCACTCCCTCCAACAAAGCCACACCTACTCCAACTAAGCCACAACTCCTAATAGTGTCACTCCCTATGAACCTATAGGGATCATTTTTATTCAAACCATCACACCATCTAATTATTAGATTAGATTCTAATAGGTTAAAATATAGATTATTGATTAAGGAAGGTTAATTTTTCTTTTCACTATGGTTAAGGAGGCTGGAGAGACTGCTCAGCTTTAAAAATACTGACTGCTGTTCCAGAGGGCCAGGGTTTGATTCCCAGCATCCACATGGTGGCTCACAACCATCTGTAACTCCAGTTCTAGGGCATCTGACACTTCTTCTGTCCTTTGTAGGGACTGCATGCAAGTGGTATACAGACAAACACATGGGCAAAATACCCATACATGTAAAATAAAAATAAATAAATATTTTTAAAAGACATTTAGAATTAAGCGTTTTAATACATTTCCAAATTATTTGCATTTTCTGTAGATTGTCTGGGTTTTTTTTTTTTTTTGCCTATTCTTATTGTTGTTGAACTGTAGATGTGTGTATGTGTGCACACCAATGTCTGTTTATGTCAGCTGGCAAAAGTTCCTCACATAACACAGTTCTTCGACTGCGGTGAAACTGCAAAGATTTCTGTCTTCTGTTTTTTGCCTTTGTTTATAGTTATTTTGTCATGCAGAAACATTTTATTTCTTATGAATGGATCCCCTCAAAAAATTGAGAAATCATGTAAAAGAAAGCAGATGGTATCAACTTAGCAGCAAAACAAGACCAGAGAAAACCACGGCGGAAAACACACCCAGAGAAGGTCCCGCTTTGGAGGTGGGAGTGACTTTGGAACAGCTCCAAGTTCAGGGTCAAGGGACTCAAGGAAGGGGAAGGTGCCCCTGGGCAAACACCAGCGCGTTTAATTTAGAGCATCTGGATGGAGGATCTTCATTCTGTTCCTCCTGTGCTGAGCAGGCAGTAGCAGAGTTGTCCCCTGGAGAGTGACTTCTGAGCTGAGGCCAGGGAGGTAGAAGGATGTCCTGGCAGCAAGTAACCCCAGGATCGAGAAAGCATGGGTAGGAAATGAACCCACAGAGGGTCTATGTGCTCCCCAGAGCACACCACTAGAACCTGCACCTCCAAGACACACGTGGCTGGAGAGATGGTAGAGTGGTTAAGAGCACTCATTACTCTTCCAGAGGACCTGGGTTCAAATCCCAGCACCCGTGTGGTAGCTCACAGCTGTCTGTAATTCAATTTCCAGGTTCTTCTGGCTCCACGGCACCAGGCATGGAAATGATGCTCAGACACACATGTAGGCAAACCATCCATCCAGAGAATTTTTTCTTTTTTTAAGTTCACAATACACAAGACCAGGGTGACAAATAACCAGTGGTTATGAGATCATGAAGGAAACCAACCCTGAAAGAGAGCAGAGAAGACAGACGTCCGGAAGAGTCAGAACGAAGAGAGAAGTTTAAAGTACAGTAACCTACTGCTTTAAAATGTCGAACGTGGACTGTGAAATCAAATGGCCTGCAATCAACGTTCAGCTGTACCGTTTTCTAGGTGAATGGAAAGTATTGGGACCATTTTCCAAATCATGCCTCATTTTTCTCATCTATAAAATGGGATCTAAATAATACCAATCGCATGTGATTATTTTGAAAATTAACTGAGATGATTAGATAAAAACACTTGGTTCAGTAATGAGTCAATAATAAATGCTCAGTAAACACAGATTTTATTTTTTATTAAACCTACAGACAACTTTTGGGAGTTGGTACTTCCCTTCCATGAGGGCTCCTCTTGTTCTTTCTGCTGCAGCACGTTACAGTAAACAGAGGTGTGCTGGCATTGTGGGGAAAGCTGGGGAAATTAGGCTAGTTGCTTGGCTTTAGAACCATCTCCTGCTCATCCCCACAAGGACTGCACTCAGCTACAGGAGAGCACTGGGGTGGAGTTCACATCCCCAACTGTGCAGACACTGTCACAATTGAAAAGAACATTCCTTGGGTTTTCTCTCACAGTTTCCTTTTTCTTGTGCCCCCAAATTTCAAATCTATAATCCCCCCCCCCCCAAAATTCTTTATTTTTCTTTTTGGTTTTCCAAGACAGGGTTTCTCTGTGTAGTTTTGGTACCTGTCCTGGCTCTCACTCTGTAGCCCAGGCTGGCCTCAAACTCACAGAGATCCACCTGGCTCTGCCTCCCGAGTGTTGGGATTAAAGGTGTGCACCACCGCTGCCCGTCCTATTTTTTTTTCCAAAAAATTAAAAAAAAAATCATCATTAAGTCGCTGAAAGGACTCTAAAGCAAGCATCTAGTCGGTAGTCTAAAGTCATGTGTGGCTCTTCTTACCTCAGGGAACAGTTGCTTGGAATGTGAATGAGCTCAAATCAAGTGCAGACCTGCAGGTGGCTTTATTCAGAAGACTCTGTAGGCTTTCTCCCTAAATAAAGGCCTGTGTTTTGATAAACAGATCAAACACTTTGAGTCCGGTAAGAAAAAGCCATCGCGGCAGAGTTCCCAGTGACTCCAGTATGACAGAAACTTCCTTCTCACATAAGTCTGCCCAGGCGTAAGGAAGTTGATGAATAAGGAGTCACAGGCCATTCCCACTGTCCTGCTCCACCTCTGTTCAGGCCCTGCGCTCTCTTGAGGCCGCCACACCAGCATGAAAAGAAGATCACAAGTCGAAGAATCCCACCTGTAAGAATTTAGGTAAATCGCAAGGGAGGCTGGGGGATTGGCATAGCCAAAACTGTATGAGGGTTGACAAAGAGGAGAATGGATTCAGGGGACAACTTGTGCCTGCCAAGCCCATGAATGTCTCTTCCCTTTGGCTCCAACCACATCCTTAACCCAAGGTCTAGATGGTCACCCACTTCCATCTTTTCTAAGATACTCATGATAGGTCATAAATATGGACACCTTCTACTGACAGGCCTCCAGGCTTTCAATCTTCTGGCAGACAGTATTGCTAAAGTTATCTCTACCATTAACTCTGACACAAATACACAGATGTATGCATAAGGTCAACTCCTTGATGCTGAAGCACTGGGTCAGTAGGTATCAGCTTTTGCAGCCATCACGCATTGTCAAACTGCCCTTTGGAGGATTTGCATCAGTTAAAACCCAAGCCAGCAAGGTATTAAAGAGTCAGTTTCCCCACATCTGTGCCAATAGAATGTGTTAATAAACTTTTGCTGTACTGGTGAGAAATAATCCCTCACTGCAGTTTTAATATGGCTTCCAATCCAGCCAAGACTCTTTATTTCTTTTACTATCACAAATAGGCATCTCCAGACTTTAGCCCAAGGCACTGACTAGGAAGGATTCTCATGTTTTTTCTTTTTCTTGAAAAAAAAAATGGGGCTGGAGAGATGCTCAGTAGTCAAAAGCACTTACTGTTTTTGCAGAGGATCTGGGTTTGATTCCCAGCATCCACATGGCAGCTTACAACTGTCCATAACTCCAGTTTCAGGGGGATCTGAAACCCTCTTCTGATGTTAGGTACCAGATACCCACAAGATTCGTAGACATATATGTGAGAAAATTACTCATACACATACAATAAAAGAAATCTAAAAATAATTTTTAAAAATAATTTTATTTAACTTTATTTTATGTGCATTGGTGTGAAGGTGTCAGATCTCCTGAAACTGAAGTAACAGACAGTTGTGAGCCACCATGTGGGTGCTGGGAATTGAACCCCGGTCTTCTGGAAGAGCAGCCAGTGCTCTTTTTTTTTTTTTTTTCCCCGAGACAGGGTTTCTCTGTGTAGTTTTGGTGCCTGTCCTGGATCTCGCCCTGTAGACCAGGCTGGCCTCGAACTCACAGAGATCCGCCTGCCTCAGCCTCCTGCGGCATGCGCCACCACCGCCCGGCTATATCTGGCTTTTTATTAAGGTCTGGAGGTTCAAATTCTGGTCCTCACACGTGTGTGGTAAGCACTTTACCAACTGAGTGGACTCCACGTTCATTTCAAATGCAAACGTAAAGTTTTACTTTGATGAAAGTTGTATCATTTAAGTTGTAGCATTTCTTTTCCACGTTGGGCTCACTTTAATAAGTTTGGTGTTTGTGGGTTTTTGTTGTTGTTGTTGTTGTTTTTAAAATGCTTTCTTCATAGGCGAAGATCCTGTGTGTGTGATTTTTTATTTATTTATTTATTATGTATACAGAAGAGGGCGCCAGACCTCATTACAAATGGTTGTGAGCCACCATGTGGTTGCTGGGAATTGAACTCAGGACCTCTGGAAGAGCAGTCAGTGCTCTTAACCTCTGAGCCATCTCTCCAGCCCCCATGTTTTTAAAGCTTATAAGAGACAAAGATCACCTATGATGCTCTGGTTGCTCTAATCACGTCCTGCTTCTGCTTCTGCTTTGTGTAACTCATGCGATTAGTGAACTGTTTAAAGTGCCATGAAAAAATGTAACCCATCAAAATGAAATTCCGAACAATCTGGATGTTCAAGCTAGACCATCTCTCCCCAGCAGAAATACAGGTGAGCTAGCTGTGTGGCTTTCAAGAGGGCGAAAAAGAAACAAGGGAAATGAATTTTAACAATATAATTTAGCACAAACTATTTAAAATAGTATCACTTCGACACGTGACCAGTGTAACCCAGATTAATGACACTTGTACATTCTTCAAAACCTGGTGTATATTTTCATTAGTAGCCTATTTCAGTTCCTACCAGCCATGTGTCAAGCACTCAACTGCCACATGTGCATGGCTGACATGTTGGTACCATGGGTGGAGTTCTGGAGAGCTCTATGTGGAGAGGTGGAGAGGAGGTGGAAGCAGGTGAAAGTTCTTGTTTTGCTTAAAGTTCCAGAGAGCTACTGAGTGGGATATGCAAAATTCGGCATACAATACACGATGTTGTCAATAAATGGTTCTCCAATGGAAAAAATAAAATTGTGTCATATGCTGCACATAAACATACTTTCCAGTTGGATGAAGAAACCAATTTTTTTAAAGAGAAAAGAACAAAAGCATTAAAAATACAAAAATTATTAATTGGAAGGTCCTTCTTAAGCAAGACACGAGATACAGAAACCATAATGGAAAAGATGGTCAGTTAACAAAAATAAAAACTCAAACTTTAAGCAAAAGGGTAAAGTAAGCAAAGGGAAAGGACAAGGGATATAGAGAAAGAACTGCAAATGAGCTAGACAACCAACCAAAAACCGTGCAAAAGTTACAAACTTGCTTTCTTACATACAACCAGGACCACTTATAGGGGAATGGCACCACCCACAGTGGGTGAGGCCCTGCTATATCAACCACCAATCAAGAAAATGCCCTATAGACCTGACCAAAGGCCAATCTGATGGAGGCAATTCTTCAAGTGAGGTTCTGCAGCAGGCTTTCTCAGACAACCAGCCCCCAAATCATGACATGGAGACTATTATTAGTTATGAATGCTTGGCTTTATCTTATGCTTGTCCCACTAGCTCTTATAACTTAATTTAACCCGTTTCTCTTCATCTACATTTTGCTTCAGGGCTTTTTACCTTTCTTTCATTCTGTATGTCCTACTTTCCTGCTTCTATCCTGTCTGTCTGTCTGGCGGGTTGCCTGGCTGGCTGGCCCCATCGTCTCCCTCTCTTTTTCCCTGGTTCTTTCTCAAGCCTAGATTTCTCCTCCTACTTAGTCTCTCTGTCCACCAGCCCTGCCTATCCCTCTACTGCCCAGCTATTGACCAATCAGGTGCCTTAAGCAGGCAAGGTAAAACAAATGCAATTCATCTTTACATAGTTAAACAAATGCAGCATAAACAAATGTAACACACCTTTACATAGCTAAAGTAATATTCCACAACAAGGTTCCTTCCCAGGTGACTCTAGTTTGTATCGAGTTGACAACAACAAACACAATTACCTTTTAAGCTCTCTGGTAGAAATGTACATTGGTAAAGTCTTTCTAAGGGCAACTGAAAAGAATATCAAAATTAAAATGTAACTCCCTTTGGCTCAGTGATTTCATTTCATGGAATCTACCCTTTGAAACATCTACCCATGTGCACCAGGATGTGTGTGCAAGGAAGTGAAGTGTAGTGCTGGAGCAGGTAAGATCTCTCAGGGTCCATCCAAATCAGGAGTACCTGGAGGTATCTCTGGGTGCTTTGTCATACAAGACTCCTCAAAATCTCAAGTTATCTTGATGAGTTAAAGAAGCAAACCACGGGGTTAGGAGTGAAGCCTGGTCGGTAGAGTGATTGTGGAACATGCATGAGGTCCAGAGCTTATTCTCCAGCACGCACATAAACCAGGCATGGTGGAACGTGTGTAATCCCAGCACTCAAGAAGTGAAGGAAGGAGGATCAGAAGTTTAAGGTCATCCTCAAGGACCTTGGGGTCAGCCTGGGATAGCAGCCCTGTCTCAAAACAAAACAAAACAAAAAACAACAAAAACAAAAAACTAACAACAACAACAACAACAACAACAACAAAAAAAAACCCAAAAAACAACCCACCAAAAACCCCACCACAATCACGTAAATCATGATTTTATGTATGAAATGGAAATTTTAAAAATGCAGTTGTGGCTCTAATATATATGGCTGTGTTAATGCCTAGAGAAAGGACTGTGGGACAAGCACCAAGCTAGGTGGTAGGGAAGAACAGTGAAGGCACATGAGAAGGGGAAGTTCACTTTTTATGCCATGTACTTCTTTGCTGTTTGACCTGTTTGCAACCTAGAAAGGTTTACAGTGTGGCATCCTCAGGTGATCCAGCAGATGAGGCTAGTGGAGATGCAAGCGAGTCAGGGACAGGGGTGCTGGCATCCCCTGGCTCTGTGAGCTCTGGGCTACCTGGATATCTATCTTTGTGGGTACTAGCCAGTGGAGACACTGAGGCTATGTCAGAGCCATGCGAGGAACATCTGTCAACTCTGCCAACCCCTGACCAGCCTGCAGTGCTTCCAAGCACCCATCCTGTGGCATCTCATGCCTAAAGACGCCCTACTCTTATAGTAGTGAATACTGAGTGCTATGGTATTTCATGACTTTATTTTGTCTTCTGGAGAAGAATAAGGTCAATCATGGTGACAGGCAAAACCAAGGAGGTTGGGGGTGGGTGTGCAGAGTGTGGTCATGGCTGTGGCTTTCATTTTCCCTGGGGGCAATGAAGCCTCAGGCTGAGGTCGGAGCTTCCCAGCATCTAGATGTTGAGGCATATTGGGAAATGTCAAAAATTGCCACCCACACCTTGGCAGGGGAGAGAAGAGACTCAGAAGGCTACATAGTGTGGAGACCTTTTCGTGACATTAGGAAGAGTCTGCGATTAGATTCTGAGAGTTCCATAACAGTGTTGTTATTTTATTCTTATTCAGAGATTAACATGTGAATATAGATGTGAAGGAGGTGAGAAATGAAGCAATATGGATGTCAGAGGGAAGAACATTCCAAGTCTGAGGAAGGATTGTGTCTAAGGTTGGAAGAAGAGCCAGAAAGCCATTGTTGCCGCCATCGCCATGGTAGATGAGGGAGACTAGGAGGTACTGTCAGAAGGGAAGGGAGAAAGGTAGGGCTTGAGAACTGCCTCCTTCACATCTTGCGAGAACTTTGCCCTTTTTTTTGTTTTTGTTTTTGTTTTTTTGAGACAGTTTCTCTGTGTAGCTTTGGCACCTTTCCTGGAACTCACTCTGTAGCCAGGCTGGTCTTGAACTCACAGAGATCCGACTGCCTCCGCCTCCCAAGTGCTGGGACTAAAGGTGTGCGCCACCACCGCCCGGAAAACTTGGCCTTTTCTTTTAGATGAGCTAGGGAAACACAGGAAGCCAGTGAATGACGCATCAGGCTGATGTTTTACAGGATGACTCTGGCTGGTGTGTTAGGAACACACAGTGAGTGAGGGAGAGAGTGGCAGGCAGGCGCCCTGGGGGCGATAAGGGGTGTGGGGGTGGGGGTGTGGGGGTGGGGAGGCACCTGCAGCAGATCAGAGAAGAGGCAGGAGCTGAGCCTTTCTTAACTGGGTGGCCAATACCAGAATCACCTTTAGGGCTCATGAAAACACTGGTTGATCCCCAATTCCAGTTGCTCCTCCTCTTAGTCTGGGGTGAGGCCCAGGAATTTGCATGTCTATAATTCCCTGGTGATGCAGCTGGTTTGGGAATCACACCCTGGGACCCTTTAAGTCTCCTTCACAGCACTGATGAAAACTTGCCATCAGTAATTGCTCATTGTAAATACTCAAGGAAGCTCTTTGTCATTCCTGTGTCCCTAGGGCCTCACATGAGGCCCAGCAGAAACGGGTGTTGGGCACGGGCTCTTGGCCAAGCTTGGGATTAGCGAAGGAACTTTTGGAAGATCCCTCATTTGATTTGTCTGATAGTGTTGGTGATGAAACTCACAGAAGTGGTCACTAGAGGGAAGGATTCATTACATCAACAGTAATAATCATAAGCATGGCACTTACCCAGTGTCTGCCCAGGTGCTTTATTTATAGTTTCTCCAACTAAGTCCTTGTAAAAGCCCTGCAAGTCAGGCCTTAGCGCATCTGTTTTACGAACGAAGAAACCAAGGCTCAGAGAGTTTAATTTTCCCAAGGCCGCACCATTAGTAAATACCAGAACCTAGCTTGGCCTGACTGACAGCTCTGGGCTGCATTATATCATACTGTCTCAAGATGTCACTGGCCAAAGATGTGGAAGTATGAAAGGCCCGCTAGAAGTCTCAGCTTCCTTTCTTGGAGAGTATTAGCTTGTTGCAAAAATGTAGACACTGTATCATCGTCATAAAGGACACCCTGCCCCCACCTCCCTTTTGTTTTCTTGAGTAGAGAGCCCTGTTCACACAGCATGTTCCCAGCCTCAGGTCCTTCCTGGTAGATCCCTGGTTCTCTACTAGGGAGCCGTGGCCACAGCTGACTTTTGTGTTTTTCATCCTTCACTGATGGCATGCTTTTCTTCAGTTCATGCCCACTTCCTAGTCTCTTCCTGCAGGGCTATGGGCACTGTATTCTGTGCTGGGAAACTGAAGCTTGACAAATTGAGGCCAGCTTGTCTCCAAATGGAATCCATCCCTCTCACTACAGGAGGGGGGGGGGGAATCATGGTCCAACACTTCCCTCCCTCCTCAGTCTCTCTCCCTGCCCTGGCAGGGGATAAAAATAGCATCTCTCAGGACCTGAGTGTGGATGGGGCAACTGTGAGCTTGAAGCTGGGCAGGGCAGAGAGCAGCTGCTCTCCATAGGCAAGGAGGGAGGCATGGGGTCAGTGCACGGGCCACAAGGATGGGATGACCCTGATCTGGAGGAACTGAGGAGGGAAGCCTGAGAGCCAGCCTGAGTGATGGCTCTCGGAGTGATCTTGACTGTCATGGTCGAGGGCTCCCTAAAATTCTTTATCAGTGTCTTTGGCGTATATCAGAGATTGTTAACCTGTTTAGGGAGACAAGGGCTTCCTAGAGCAAGCAATGAAATGTAAAAACCACTTTTGCGTATGTGGAAGCATCCATGCACACAGACAGCAACTCACAGCACACACTGTCACATACACTGCATATTTTGGGGGGAGGGGCTGGCATGGGCCACAGGTTAAAACCCCAGATGCATGTTGACTTACAGCGAAGTAGAACTAGAACAAGAAATACAAATAACACACATAAAAACAAGGTGGCTGGGCGTGGTGGCACAGGCCTTTAAACCGAGCACTTGGGAAGAAGAGGCAGGAAGATCTCTGTAAGTTTGAGGCCTGCCTGATATACATAGTAAATTCCAGGCCGGTGAGGGCTACATAGTGAGACCTTGTCTCAAAAAACCCAAACTTAAGCCAAAGCAAAAAGCAAAACCCAAAATACAAAATAAAAACAAGCTTACTAAAGTTTGCCAAGGTCTTTCTGGAAAGTGTGTGGCATACAGATCCCAAGGAACGGACTCACGAATGTAGAGGCTGACCTCTGATGATGGGATTAGGGAAGAGTTCTGCTCAGAACAGTATGCTTCTCTTTAGAAAACGCATCCAAGACTTGGGGCGCACCTGGGGAAGAATGTAGGGACCGGAGGCTTCCCTGTGAAGTGGACCAATTAAGTCCAGGCCTCCACAACATGGGCCGGGGACTGACTATCTTTACAGAGGGTGCACCCAGACCCCTTCGCCTGATCAGGTCAATTTTTTGATTATAACTTGTTCCCCTTTATCTCATTTCTTTTCTTGGCGCATTTCACACATGTAAACAACGTATGTTATTTATTTCGACCCCGACTCTTCGGCCCCTAACCCGACTTCACGTCCGCGACGCCCCCGCGGGCACGCGCGCTCTAGACCCGGGCGCTCTCGGCCCGGCGGAGCGTGCGTGCGCGCCCTCGCACCGTCGGGCGCGCGCACGCGCGCGTCTCCGCCGGTAGCTCCCTCCCCCCCGCCCTCCCGTTCCCGGGCGGCCGGTCTGAAGCGGCGGCGCTATGAGCTGGCCGGCCGCCCCCGGCTCGGGGCTGTGAGGCGCTCGGGGCCGGGGTGCGCGGCGGCGCGGCGGGCGGCGGACGCTCCTGCTCGGCGGCGGCCATGCGCGCGGGCCGGGGCGGCGTCCCGGGGACCGGCGGCCTGAGGGCCCCGCCGCCGCCGCTGCTGCTGCTGCTGCTGGCGCTGCTGCCCGCCGCCGCCCCGCGGTCCCCGGCCCTGGCCGCCGCTCCCGCGGGGCCCAGCGTGAGCCTCTACCTGAGCGAGGACGAGGTGCGCCGGCTGCTCGGTGAGTGGCGCCGCTCCCGGGGCCTCGTGAGCCCCGCGGTGCTGCCGCTGAGCAGCCCGCGCGCGCAGTCTCCGCAGCCTCTCTCTGCGCGTGTCACTCTAGGCCGCGGAGCTCCGGAGCCTCGGAGTCGGCGCTCGGGACCCGGGTGGCCGCCCCTTAGCTTGCTGTGGGTGGCCCACAGGCCACGCCGCCGCGCGCGTGCTTTCTGCTTAGCGAGTGGGGGCAAGGTGAGCCGGGCGCCTCCGGTGTGTGGCATCCTGCACACCTTCGGGCCGACCGGACCTGCAGCTCGGGAGGTTTGGCTTGGGTTCGTTGAGTTTGACCTGGTGCTGCAATTCCAGGCCACTCGCCTGCTCTGCAGACCCTGCAGCGAGAGAAGTTGGCTTTGGTTCCGTGGGTGGTTGCGTTTACCTGTTTAGCTCCGTTGTTTGGGGAGTCTTGTTTGGGAAACGATTCTCCCCCTCCGCTTGGAACTTCGTGGATTCTGAAAGTCAGCCCTTCAAGGAAGGCCTGGCCAGCCATCAAAAGGAAGTCTCTGGTCGCTGAGGATACCCAATTTTTCACCTTCTTTTGTGCATTAATGCAGCCCCTTCACTCTCAGGGTGTGGCGGGTCTGAGTGGAGTGTTGGAACGGAAAAGTTCGCCTCCTAAACATCCATTATCTGTCACTTTTATTTTAGTGGGCGCGCATCTCTCTTTCTCTCTCTCTGTCTCTCTCTGTCTCTGTGGTGTGTGTGTGTGTGTGTGTGTGTGTGTGTTGTGTGTTAGAGGAGTTTCTTTTTTCTTTTCTTGAGACAGGGACTCTATGTAGCCCAGGCTGTACTGGAACCCACTGTGTAGACGAGGTTGGCCTGAAGCTCAGAGATCCACCCGCCTGTTAGTCTTTTTTAGTGAAGTTTCTTCAGGTAGGTTGAGAGAGCTCAGAATCCGAATGAAATTGCTTTTAGCAGACTGTTTAGACATTGCTGTATGTGTGGGTTGGTACTCTTTAACCAAAGAGGAATTGTGTTTTTGTAACGCCCTGTCTTAATCTTCCTTAGAGGCTAGTTGAATTAATTGAATTTTGTCTAGCAGAATTGAAACTGCATCTAAATTACTCCTGGAGCATGGAAGAAGGGCTTAGGAAAAATAACGATTTGTGAAGCAACTCATAGGCATGCTTTTGTAAAGTGTTGTCTTTTGTTGTTAAAAGAACTGACATAATTGTGACTTTGTTGACATGTACTTCCTCTCCTATCTCAGCCAGGATGGAAGTAGGGGAACAGAAACAGCTAGCTGCAGACATGGACGGAGTGTTTGCATGTATCTTCCACTGCACATTAGAGTTTTGCTACCTTATTTATTTATTTATTTATTTATTTATTTGTGTGTGTATACCATGATATGTTGTGTTTATTTTTATGTGTGTTGTGTGGAGGTCAGAGGACAGCTTGAGGGAGTAGATTGTCCCCCTCCACAGTATGGGTCCCAGGGCTGGAGCTCAGATGATACAGCTTGACAACAAGCACCTTTAGCTGTGAGCCATCTTGCTGGGGAGCAATGTGGATCTATATATGTCAGTTCTTCTCAGGTTCTTGTTACCCAGTGGGGTAGGTATCAGGGGAGATGAGAAAAGTGAGGCTTTAAATAACCCACTTAAGGTAACAGGGCTTATTCCATACATTACACATATAGTTTAAACCCACACAAAACAGTGTTTACTGGCTGCAGACTAAGCTTAAGGCATGAAGATATTGTGCATAAAGAAGTTTGATTATAGGGTTGGGGATTTAGTGCTTGCCTAGCAAGCGCAAGGCCCTGGGTTCGATCCTCAGCTCCAAAAAAAAAAGTTTGATTATGGCATGTTGGAAAAGAGACCACTGCTCATTAGTACCTGAAAGGGCTCTTTTGTAGCCAGGAACTGATTTTCTTAGGATTTGTAGCTGCATAAGCTCCTGATGCTGAGTACTTGGCGAGTATGTCCAGAAGTGAGCAGTGTGGAAGTGGAGTGGAGGTGAGGAGCTTGCCTCCTTGGACTCTCTCATCCACCCGTGGGTATTTTCTGCCGTGCAAACTGAGTTGACCGGTTACAGTGTGGCCTCTAGATCTTCATGTACCAGAGCTAGGGCCTCTTTCTGTCCCGTAGTGTCTCCCTCAGGTGCGCTGCCTTTGAAGGATTCTCTGGCTTTGTCTGGGTGGCAAAAAGTAAGTAGTGGGATGTATGCGGGGCCTCCTGAACGTGATAGCTATTATGGTGTGCAAGACTACTTGAGATAGTGCTTCCTGCCACATTCTCGAATGCTTAAAAGGTTGAGCGCCTTCCAGAAGCTTCGACAAGCTAATCTTCATCTCACAACATTTCGTGGACAGTGAATTCAGAAGGCCAAGTAGAAGCTTAGAAGTCAGTCGTGACAACTTTACATGCTGAACTGGTTGTGCTTCATAGAAGAGGTTTTAATGCAGTCACTATAAGCACACAGCGAAAACCAATCCAGTAACAAAAAAGGGCTGAAACCAGAAACTGCCAGCAACCTTCCTTTGGTCTCTTTTTACCTGGGCCCCACTCCGCAGTGCTCATAGTTCCCTAAACTGTTCTTCTGTTTATTTTCTCGTTTTTCTTTTGAATTTCTCGACCAGTGTGGAATGAGCATTTGTCTTCTGGAATCATCCCTGTACCCCGTACTCTCCAGTGCACTTTTTTTTTTCTAAACTTTAAATGACTTATTTTTATTTCATGTGCATTGGAGTTTTGCCTATATGAGAGTGTTGGATCCCCTGGAACTGGAGTTATAAACAGTTGTGAGCTGCCATGTGGGTGCTGGGAATTGAACCCGGGTCCTCTGGAAGAGCAGCCAGTGTTCTTAACCACTGAGCCATCTCTCCAGCCCCTCCAGTGCATTTTTAAACCAGCAGTCAGTGTTGATATTACTGTGTACAAATACATTGCCCTTTTCTGAGTTAAATAGAAGCTGGTTGCCCCACCCCTACCCCGATTTTGTTTCCCCAGAGCAAATTAGTTGGATTTTAAGCTTTTCTGATTAGTCTGCTTTGTGTCTCTGCATATATTCCCCCAGGTACATGCCGAGCGCTTTTGATTTCCCACCCCCACTCCAGGTAGCGTATCAAGACATCTGTTAGTTCCATTGGATTTTTCTTAGCGATGTCTTGATTTAGTGTCATCCATACTCTTGCTTCAGGCTGGACAGTAGCACTTTGTGTGCCTCTCTGTCCTCTCTTGGTCGCTTGTCTTCTGTTTCCTTGATTTGCTTTCCTTTGCTGGCTGTGTGTGTGTGTGTGTGTGTGTCCTCAGTAGAGTCCTAAGAATGGGGTGCCTGGGAAAGAGCAATTATTTGAGGTCCTCCATGCCTGAAAATTTTCATTTTATCCTCATACTTTGTAGATGGTCTGGCTGGCTGACTTTAGAATTTTAGATTGAACGTGATTTTTGGTTTTTGGTTACAATTCGGGCCGTATCTTCTCTTATAAGAATTTCAGGTAAAAGATCCAAAGCCATTTTTAAATACCCCCCCTCCCCCCCCCTGCCGCCGCCCCCATTTCAGAATGTCAGAGTGTTTTCCTCTGACATTCTGAAGCTCTATAAGCAGGCATGTGGGGTTATTTGTTAATCTGGATGCAAAGCCTTCAGATTTTGGGAGTGTCGGTTCACTTTTTAAATAATATCCCATGCCTTACTTTTTCCTATACTTTTGCTGAGATGGCTGTCCTGTGTCTGTTGATTCTCCACGTTGAACACCAGTTTTTCTCATCTTACCTTTTTCTTCTTCGTATTGAAGCTGGTGGACAGAGAATTCTCCCTCCCAGTTTTGTCTTTCCACCTTTCGTTTAAAAAAATGTTTGTAATTTTTAGAATCTTTGTTCTCTGCACTTCATTGTGTCTTATGAGTGTGTCATCTTCATTTTCCTCTGAGGCGCGTGTTACTTTTTTTTTATTTTGGTCTTTATGTTTCAGTTCCTCTGTTTGTAGTCATAGATGGGTGATTCTTGGCTTTGTGTAGTGAAGAGTGAGATGCTGGGATTGACGGGAGAGAGGTCGACGATTCCCCGTGTCTGTTGGCGTGCAGGTGGACTTTGCACTGGAAGGCTGTCCGAAACACCAGAATTTGTGTCTTATTAGGGTTCTGCTCAGTGTCGTGAAGCCTCTAGAAACGTCCTGTCTCTGGAATGCTGGGTGATAAATTAGCTGTCAGGGTTTGGGTTACCTGGTTGGGGGAGGAATGGAAGTTCTCACCCTTCAGGCTGTAGACTTTGACTTCTGCTTATAATTTCCCTGCCCTTTGACTCTATTTCCTTAGACCTTTGGTCTCCTGCTGAACTTGGGGACCTGCAGCTTTGAGTATTTGCACAGTGGCTCCTTCCTTGTGAGGCCTGAGCTTCTAGGCTGCCTTTGGTACCTCCTAGGTGCTTTCAGGGCTGAGCCTCTTAGGGGTCTTAGGGGTAGTGATCGCTCCTATCTGCTTCCCATCATGCGAAAGTTTGCTAAAATCTATGATGTTTTCCCCTTCCTATCCTGGCTTTACTCTCTAAAGGCTTTGGTCATTCTTAGCTGAGTGATGGCAGCTAAGCCTGGGCCTTACTGAAGATGACATGTGGCAGTTATTTTGTAAGGACAGTGGTGGTCAGTAGTGGTGGATGGAGTGCTGCTGATGTGTGGTGGGGGTTTGCCCACGTTAAATACGTAGTCCTTCACCCTGTACACAAGCGGGCTGCTGAAACAAAAGTCCGTAAACGGAAGTGCTTAGAAGCAACAGAAAAGTACTTTTCACAGTTCTGGATGCTGGGAAAGCCAATGTCAACGTGCTGGTGGCTGGGTTTCTGGTGAGGGCTTTCTTTGTGCTTCATAGATATCCTTAGCTTGTTCTCACACAGTGGGGGTGTGAAATGGACTCTGTGGTCTTCATGACAGGGGCACTAATCCCACTCACGTCTTTATGGCCTCATCCCCTCTCAAAGGCCCTGCTTGCTTCTCTGTCTTCCAGTGGGAGTTAGAATTGTAACGTGAATTCTGGGAGGTACAAAGGTTTTTACCTTCGCCATGAGTGAACAGGCTTGTAGTGGGTCCTTGGTCTGTGCCCACTGCATACAGTCCTGGTGGAAGTCTGCCTTCTCTGAAGACTTCCTAAATCTTTGGAGCGCTTAATCTCTGTGTAGTTTTCCCACGTCACTGGGCCCTGCCTCATGCCTCTTAATACTACAGTACTGGCTAGCTGTGTCTGAGTGTTGTGGACATTGAGAAAGCCAGGCCTCAACTCAGTTGTGCCTGAATCCGAATCCCTGTTGCTTCTGTCAGCTCTGGAGCAGCTGCAGTGAAGCCAGAACTTAAGCGGTGCTGGTTTGTGGTCCTGGTTACTGTCAGTGTTCTAGGTCTGCTACCACAGCCCTGTGCTCCATGATTGCTGGAGCAGTGCAGAGGTTTGGGATTAAGATGCCAGTGGGTGGGAAGTCACGGTGACAGTGATGGCTGTGATAGGGGGTTGTGGTCTCTAAGGATGAAGACAGCTTCTGAAAGAATGGACCAGTTAAACATTTCCTCTGGAGAGCTTGCTTCTCCTTTCAAACTAAATAGCCTCTGGGAGCGTCCTACTTGTTCACATCTCATTTCAAATCAGTTCATTCTAGTTTTAGACACTTGCTCTTCAGAGCAGTCTAGAGAAAGAAAATTGAAGTCAGTGTATTGTAGAGAAATGACTAAAAATGATTAGATTCCTCTCCTTGGAGAGCTGGAGATTTTGTGGGGGGATTTTTCTTTGTAGGACTGTAGCTCTCAGATAAAGAGTTCCATTGTGGATTGATACGTTATTGGAGGAGTGATCACTTTTGACAGTGATTGATAGGGCTAAGTGATGGGCAGGGTTATTTTCCTCTGGTTGATGGAAGTTTTTTGTTTTTGTTTTTGGTTTTTGGTTTTTCGAGACAGGGTTTCTCTGTGTAGCTTTGCGCCTTTCCTGGAACTCACTTGGTAGCCCAGGCTGGCCTCGAACTCACAGAGATCCGCCTGGCTCTGCCTCCCGAGTGCTGGGATTAAAGGCGTGCGCCACCACCGCCCGGCTGATGGAAGTTTTTTGTAGGAATAATTACTTTTGAGAGAGGGAAGAGAGGCTTGTAGAGTTTGGGGAAGGGAACCCAGGAAAGAAATCATTTACGCCTCGTCTCAAGGTTGAGCTGGTCAGGCAGAAGAGAGAAGCAAGCACTGAAGGCCAGGGAGAGAGTGTGGCATGGAGTGTAGAGGCAGATGTGTGTGGAAACAGAACTCAGAAGTGGCCGGGATGAGACCAGTGAGCCCAGAAGTGGCAGAGAAGACAGCTGGGAGGTCGGCAGATGGAGTCGGGATTTGAACTGTTTCTTAGGGAATGGAAAACTATTGGAGTATTTGGGTAGTACTTCAGAGGTGGAGGCAGGAGGATCAGGACTTCCAGTCCAGCCTTGTATATGTGAGACTCTTTTTTTTTAAATTTTATTTATTTATTTATTTATTTATTTATTCATTTATTTATTTTTAAGATTTAGCTATTTATTATATATACATATTCTCATTACAGATGGTTGAGAGCCACCATGTGGTTGCTGGGAATTGAACTCAGGACCTCTGGAAGAACAGTCAGTGCTCTTAACCACTGAGCCATCTCTCCAGCCCAATTTTATTTATTTTATGTATATGAGTGACCTGTCTTCATGCACACCAGAAGAGGGCATCAGATCTCATTGCAGATGGTTGTGAGCTACCATGTGGTTGCTGAGAATTGAACTCAGGACCTGTGGAAGAGCAGCCAGTGCTCCTAACCGCTGAGCCATCTCTCCAGACCATACGTGAGACTCTTGACTAGTGCCCCCCCAACCACCCCCACCCCCACCAAACAAAACTCAGTCAACAAAACAAAACACCCCAAAACAAGTAAAGCAGAATTTAGGAAAGGAGAGTGTAGTCAGTACTGGGTTATAGAAAAGATAAGACACCTGTCATAGTACGTGGTTTGGGAGAGCAGGTGAAGAGGTAGGGTGGATTTATTGCAAAGAATTGGGAGGCTTAATGGAAGGAGACCTCGGGGCTAAAGAGAAGGTGTTCTTCAGAGTTCGTGGTTTAGATTTGGGTGTCTGAGCCAAAGGACCCTGTCTTTATGGGAAAGACAATTGAGGAGAAGAAAAATGTGATGAGCCAAGTATTCTTCTCGGCCAAACTTCTCTCTTTCCTCCAGAATCTCAGGCCAAATACTTGATTGGGGAAGGATGGCGTCCTCTATGCTGGTGGCACTGGCATAACCTGCCACAGGGCGGCTTTGGCAGGAGTGCGTTAGCATCCTGAAGTGAACCCTTCACCCTAGGCGTTACGTTGGGGTTGGTGGTATTGGCACAGTTTAATCTGAGCCCATGTGTTCTTCATTGGGAGAGCGGGGCTGAGACATTGTGCAATTGTGGGTTTGGATTTCTTTCTCCCCTGCACATATGGAGGAAAATTCTATCCAATTATGGCTAAACTTGTCCCCTGTGAGTCACATCCTGAGTTAATGAGTGAATTCTGAAGGTGCTGCCTAAAATGCTGCTTGGGTTTTAAAGTTCACTTCAAGAGCAAATGGAAGGTGCCTGTCCGTCCGTGTCCTGTCCCGTCCCCGCCCCCCCCTCCGCCCCCAGCACGTGGAATTGAGAAGTTCCCCAGAATCACTTTAGTTGTTTGCTGTGGTTACGTCACTGTCCTCACAGATCTTGCCAGCCTGAGAGATAAGAATATCCTGCACTTGAGACCAAACCATTCAGTTACTCTGAGATTACAGTGGAAATATGCTTTTTTGGTTATCCTTGTTGATGTAAGTGTTTTCTGATCTGATTGTTACCAAACAACATTCCCTTGTGTAGGACTTCCCAAGATGTTCCTTGCCAAAACAATGTGTGTCGGGAAGGGTCAGATAGTAAACGCTTACTGAACAGTTTATTTTGCTGTTCCCAGCAATGAATGACAATGTTGAGTGACTGTTATTCTTACATACATTTTAAGCTGGAATACTATGCACACAGCTCTTAACTTGGGAGATACCCATAATCTAGAGAGAACAAACATGTCTTACACATGCCAGATACTTCACATATGTTCTTTAGCAACGTCAGGTAGCATTGGTTACTATTTATTTGTTTATTTGTTTTTCAAGACAGAGTTTCTCTGTTTAGTCCTTGCTGCCCTGGAACTCACTTTGTAGACCAGGCTGTCCTTACACTCAGAGATCGACCTGTCTCTGCCTCCTAAGCACTGGGATCAAAGGCATGCCCCACCACCACCTGGCTGTTTGTTTATTTTTAAAAGATTTTATTTATCATGTATACAGTGTTCTGCCTGCATGTATGTCTGCACACCAGAAGAGGGCACATTATCTCATTATAGATGGTTGTGAGCCACCATGTAGTTGCTGGGAACTCAGGACCTTTGGAAAAGCAGCCAGTGTTCTTAACCTCTGAGCCATCTCTCCAGCCCCCATTGGTTACTTTTTAA